CTGCTGCCAGGGGGACCCTGAGGTCAGAATCCGGAGGGCAGGATGTGCCCCAGGGCAGGTGGCTCAGGCAGGACAGACAATTCACATCCCAAACGCTCCCGTTTTCCTCCTGCTGCCCAGGGTGGCTCAGCCCAGCCCTCAGCACAGCGGGGACGGTGTCCAAACCTCAGAGTCACTTACAGGAATGTGTTTCCACCGATGAAAACATCTCCCCTCCGCCTTCCGTGCTCGGGCTGCCCAGGGCGGTGCGGGCAAAACCAGCTCGTTTCCTCGGGAGGGAAAAAGCTGGAGGGTGAACTTGTGGGGCTGCCGTCTGTCCTCACGCTGCCCGGGACACCAGAGCTTTGCTGGGCCAGGCGGGTGCTGTGGCCAGAGCCCCCGTCCCGGGGAGCGAGCGGGACCCCCGAGGTGCGGGGGGAGCGGGGCAGGACCCTCCTGCTGCCCCTTCCCGCTGCCGGGGGGATCTGGTGGGAAGCGGCCAATGAGGGGCCGGGCTGGCTCCAAATCCTGCCCTTTGCAAAGCCCCAGATAAACCAGACCTCAGTAATAAGGCCAGGGAGGTTAGGACGAGAAGCGTGACAGCAGCTCTGGAGAGGTAAGGGGGCAGTTCTGTCTGGGGGCAGCGAGTGGCCCCGGCCTTTGTGTGGGTGACCCAGGGCTCGGGAGCCGGGGGGGCAGAGCTTCCTTGGCTTCAGCCGAGGGGCTTGGTTTGCTGGTGTTCAAAGGATCAGGTAGCTGGACACACTTAGTAGAGTGATCAGGAAGCTAAACACAGATTTTCTGTATCTTGGGAGCTTCTGTGCTCATTCTGGGTGTTAAATACGTTTCTTGGGAGTGCAGCTCTGGAAAATCGTGGTGATCTGCCGGCGTGGGGAGGCTCTGGGCTTTGGAATGGAGATATGTGCTCTGAAACTGTTGGGGAGCTTCCCACCTACAGAGCTGGGTTGTTAGAGCATCCAGTTTTTTGATGACTGCTCCTTTGGTCATCGGTCACCCAGGTACAGAAATGGAAACAGAGGAAACTGTGGAACGGACTTAGTTAAAACAAGGAGATGTAAAAAAGTAGCAGCTGATGATGTAAAGCTGAACAGGAGGGGCCTTGGTCCCTTCTCACCCTCCACTCGAGATCTGTTGCTGATCAAAAATGGTGAGGAGCTTTTAAAACTGTTTATAGCAGCACAGGCAGGAGCTTTTCCTAGACAGTGGTAATCTCTTCTGCAAGCCACCTCAGGTCCATGTGACATGTCCTCACCTCCAGCCCTGCTGTTCTGTCCCTTCCCTGCTAAAAAGGAAAAAAAACAAACCAAGTGGCAGATGTTGGAAAGCGGAGCCTGTTGGTTTCATGGGGCTGCCTGGGGAATATGATCCAGATCCTACAGGAGAGAGAGAAAGCAACAGAGTGAAAGAGAGAGGAGGGAATCTGGAGGCTCTGGAAAATAACTTGCTTATTGTAACATCTAGTACAGGAAGTCAAATCTTTCTAGCAAGGTCCAGGGATGAAGCAGAACTGCTTGGGAACCAAGGAGGCTGCTGGGTTAAGTCATTTTAGAGTATGCTTTTTTGTCTTTTCTTCTGTACAGAGGTTCAAGTGCATTGAAGTGTCTTTGTCCTCTAGTGAGGGGTGCCTGAAATAAGGGTGTTAAGACCTGAACAAGTGCTACAGTAACAACCTGGCTCTTACTGGGGTTTCTTGATTTAGTTTAGGGCTTTAAGTAAAGCAGCAAAGTTCCCCATGGAAGGCACTTCGGTTCGTTATTCCAGCTCCTGATCCCAGTTACAGGGCATAATGACAAAAATCAGAAGAATATCCTAAAACTGGAGGCAGCCAAAACCACTCATAGCCCTGTGCCTTGGGCTATTTATGGAATGAATGCAATTAATGGAAATTGACACGATTTGTGTTGTCAGGTCAAAATATCCACCCCTGTCAGCTCCTCTGGTTCCTGGAGGGGAACGCTGAGACAATCTAGGAAATGTCCCGTTCCTGTTCCACGAAGTGGCTGTAGCACAGGTTGGAAAACGCGCCCCAGGTGCAGTTGGCAGGAAGAGAGGAGGTTTCCCGGGGCTGCCCAGCCCCGCTCCCCGCCCTGAGCCCCTTCCTTGCTCCCTCTGCCCGCACTGACCCTGCTCCCTTCCCCCCGCAGCTTTCCATGAAGGAGGTTGGGGACGGGCTGCAGGAGCAGATGAACTGCATGATGGGCGCCCTGCAGGAGCTGAAGCTGCTGCAGGTGCAGACGGCGCTGGAGCAGCTGGAGATCTCGGGGGGCCGCGGGCGGGACGTGCCCGCAGCCCGCAGGGTGCGGGGGGAGCAGCAGAGCCCCACGGCCCCAAAACCCCCGGGTCCGTCCCTTCCCGCCGCGCTCTCAGAGGGCAGCAGCCTTGGAGACACCTCCTCGTCCTCCTCCTCCGGGAGCCTCTGGGGGGAGGGGGTTTATCACCCGAAAAGACCTTCCTCGGTGCTGGGCGGAGCAGAGCACGCCCAGCCAAGGAGACGGGAGCCCCGGGGCCAGGGCAGTGCCTGGGGACAGCCCGTGTGCTGGGAGTGCCCGGGCTGTGACGATGGCCACGACTGGACCTCATCCCTCATGTCCCAGAGCAGGAACAGGCAGCCGCTGGTCCTGGGGGACAACATCTTTGCAGACTTGGTTGGGAACTGGTTGGATCTGCCAGAGCTGGACAAGAAGGGGGAGAAGAACGAGGCATCCCTGGCCGTGAGCAGATCCCAGGAGCTCTGCAGGAAGTTCTCCCTCACAGCCAACATCTTCAAGAAGTTCCTGAGGAGCGTTCGGCCAGACCGAGACAGGCTGCTCAAGGAGAAGCCCTGCTGGCTCCCTCCTGAAGACAAACAGCCAGAAATCTCCAAGAGACCAAAAACGATGAACAAACTCAAGGGGACATTTTACTTCCCGCTCCATGGGAACATCCAGAGCCACCACAGCAAAGCAGAGCAGGGCCCAAAGGCAGAAAGCAATCGTGAGAAACCCAAAACTGGCACCAAGAAAGTCCACAGTACCATAGACTACACCCAGTCTGGGTTTGACATCAATACAGCTGTTTGGGTCTGAGTTTGTTGGTGTCCCCAGCATTTGTTCCACACCAGAGGAGCTGGAGGCCACACACATCATTTCAGGAGACTCCCAAGCTCTCAACCTGGGGAGAGATGAGAGGAGAGTCCTCTGCAAAACCTGTTGTAGGCTTCAGTTGCCTGCAAGTGGTGCTTCCCAGGGAACTGCAGAGACCTTTGGAGACAGATATTTTAAAAACTAATCAGGATCTTTAGCAGCTTTGGGGTGAGCTGTGCCACAGGCTCCTGGAGCCTGGCTCACTGCAGCCACCCGGGCATCTCTGTCACCTCCAGTTCAATCCCTGCAGCACAAACCTCCCTGGGTGATATGTGTGTGAGTGTGCAGATATCTATCTAGTCTGTTGTTTGTTTTTTAAAAAATCTATTCCTGCTTGTGTGCACTGAACACCGGGTTATAAACCTGCCATCCAAGTGTTGTACCCCAAGCACTTGTTATTTAAACGGAAAGAAATAAGTTTGTATTTCTAAGCCCTGAGCACCCTCTCTGTGGGGGTGTTGAACCCCAGCCCTGCTGTGTTTCAGCTCTGGGCTTTTCCCCCTCAGCTGCATCTCTGCCCTGTCCCAGCACCTCTCCTTCCCCTCCAGTTAAACCAGTAGGATTCAAGGCTCCTCCCAGGGCAGCTTGTGACCCTCCCGCTCCCCGCGGGTTTGGCTTCTCCCCCCGTGCCCTTCTCCCCCAGGTCACACCGATCACAGTGTTGCAGAAGTGAATTGCTGGGCTTGCACTGGGATACAAGGTTGCAGCAGCAGCCGCTGATTGTTGTTGTTTCCTCCCGCTGTTGTGTACAAACCGTCTCCAGGAACCGGGTTCCTCAATGTCCGACTCTCTAAGAGTTACCAATAAAGTGTCCCGAGCCCCCGCCGAGGGGCTCCCCCCTCCGTCCTGCTCCTCTCCAGCCCCTGGGGTTGCTCCCAGCGGGCACAAAGGGGGGTGAACTGGGAGCCCGGGGGCTGTGCCAGCCCGTTCCCAGCGGGACCAGCAGCCTGGGGAGCCAGGAGCGGTTCCGATCCAGGAGAGGTTATAAATCAGGACAGGGAGAGGCTCCTGCCGGGTCCCAGAGCCCCCCGCCAGCCCGGAGCCCCCAGGCAGGTCCCGGGCTCGGCTGGGCTGTTGCACAAACCTGCTCCTCCCGCTCCCAGTTTAGGAAGGGCTTCTGCGAGCACTGCTGGTGGTTTTTTAACACATGGCATTCTATTCCTGTTGCAACTTCCCAAGACAGAGGCCAGTGGAGCAGAGGCGTGGAGGGAGATTTTTTTTTTTCCCCTTGGCAATTAAATAGAGACAGGAGCCAAGCCCTGGCTCTGCCCGTACAAGGACACGAGTGGGTTGGCATCTGCGCGCTCTGCTCAGCGCTTTTCCAGCAACCTGAGTTGCAAACAAGCTTTTGTTTTTCCCCCTCGTGGCTCCTGGTCTGGCTGTTTACCCCCTTCTTCATTCTCTGGACACCAAAAGGCCGTTTCTAGAGCATTTTCCTCCTCTTTCATCAGCCTCATCCCGTTTGTTGCAAGCCCACCCTCCCAGCTCTCACCGACCTCTCCCCAGGGGCAGCAGAGAAGGAACTTCTTACAAGTGGCAGCTCGAGAGAGAAACAACTTTTCGTGCCCCAGCCCCTGGAGAGCGTGGCCTGGCCCCAGGGCCTCCCCCTGCCCAGCCCCCCCAGGGCCCCATCCCGAGGGGGCATTTCCCCGGCTGGGCAGAGCAGGGCAGGGGAGGGGGCCCCGCTGAGCCCGGGGGGGGGGCACGAAAGGTGCGTTTCTGCAGGTGTGACCCCTGCAAACGGGAAGTGTTCCCGTAGGACACAGGGAGGCTCGGGAGCCTAAACTGCACATCGGGAACCCCCTCCATGGAAAAAGTGGTTCTCAGGGATTTGCCCTGTTTCCCCCCACGGGTGCCCCCCAGCCCAGCCCCCTGTGGGGGCTCCGCAGCCCCGGGCTGCACAGACCCCCACCCAAACCCGCTTCCCAGCACATGGGGCCCCTCTCACACGCTGCAGCCCCCCCAGCAGCTGCCACGGTGCTGCCCCCCCGGCTACGGGGGCTCACGAGGAGCTGATGGGAAGATTCTCTTGAGAACAAGCACTTCTGGCCCCTCTGGCTCCCAACAGCTGCCCTGGCAGCACCGGGTCATCCTGCCCGGGCATGTCATGCTGGGGGGCTGCTCAGGATCAGCTGCTGAGCCCCCCCTTTCTGTCCCTGCCTTTTCTGTCCCTGCCCAGAGGAAACCCGATTGTTTCTAGTTTCATGTGCAAAGGGCAGCTCTTGGCCCCAGCTCTGCCCACGTGTTCCCTTCCCACCCCAAATCATCTGCCAAACCTGTGCCCATTCCCCCCAGATCCCCTGAGCAGTTTTGGGGCCAGAGCCCGGGGGGGTCCCTGCACATTTTCCAGGATGTCCTCAGTGACAAATTTGGTGTGACCCAGGCTTCAAACAGCCACTTGAAAACTGCTGGTGATTGGAGTTTGATCTCTAAGTTCTTAGGAGACAAAAAACACTTAATAAACGTTTGTAAGATGCATTCAAATAATAAAGAATATCAGCCAAGCCAGACACCCTACCTGACTTAGTGTCCAGAGCAGGATCTGCTAATAAGAAAGATTTGTCAATTACCATTTCACTTCTCCAGGGATCTTCCTGAAATTTTAATGGCTTTTATCTTTTTTTTTCTTCTTTTCTTTCTTTATTTTCCTTTTTTGTGTGTGGCTTTTTTTTTCTTTGCATTAAACTGCCATGAAGTAGTTCCCTGTTATTAAGTACTAAACCTACCTAATTAGCACAATGACAGTCTTTAATGAGTCCCTGGCTCTGTGGTGTCTTTGGCAGTCAATAGCAGACACAGGACAGTCACAGCCAGAGCTTTCCCCACCGTCCTGCCCCGTGGAAGGCAGGGATGGGCCAAAGGGGGCTCAGACCTTTGGATTCCTTAGAAATCCCTGTCCGAGGGGTGTGGGAAGGCCCGGCCAAGGGCAGGGGGCTTCCATTGAACACCAGTGTTGGTTCAGCCCAGCCCTTCCCAACACCCAGCCCTGCTGGGGAGGGTGGGGGCTGGATCTGGCTTAATGCACAGAGAGGATTTGGCTCTTGGCATTAACCGGGTGTTGCTCCCGGCCCAGCCCCCCCAGCTCCCGCTGACCCCACTCCAGATGGCCTCCAGAAGGTTCACAAATGGGCCTGTAATTAAAAAGCCTCTATTTTCAAAACCATTTCACAGCTTACTCTTCTGACAACGGGATGGGGCTGCTCAGGCTCAGGCAGGGAAGGGCAGCACCGGCCCCTGCTGCCCCCACGGCTCCAGTTCCTGATCTGCAGCCCCAGAGCCACTGCTGAGCCCTCCCACACCTCCCCATGGTCCTCAGCTCCATCCCCACTAACCACCTGAGCTCCTGTGCCTAACTAACCTGAAAGCCTTTCTGACTCGAGACAGCAAATTTAACCATTTCCCCTCAATTCCCCTCGTACTGAGGCTGGAAGGAAAGAAGCCAATTGTCCCAGCCTTGCTGAACTAGGTTCCATTTCAGGCAGAGCCTAGAACTGTTTCAGTCACTCCAGCACCTTCCCAATCACCCTCATCATATTATCAATCAGCAGCAGAATCTCTTCTACTTCTCTAAGCAACGTTCCTGGGCCCTGCTCCCTCAGCATCCTGGTCTCTGCAGAAAGAGGCTGCAGCTCCTTTCTCTTCCCTTTTGTTCAAGTTCATTTGTATCCACGTGGCATTTCTAATCAGGAAATCTTACCCCTTCCAGCTGGCAGGCAGGCTCAGCTGCTGGTTTTAAAGCATAAATAAACCCGTTTTTCTGCAAGAATTGGCTGCAGCCAAGGCTGGGATGTGGCCCCATCCCCAGAGCAGTGTCACCCCTGGCCCTGCCCAGCCCCCCAGGGCCAGCTCAGCCTCCTCGTGCTGTTCCACACCAGGGCTGGTCCTGGCCCTCTCCAGACTCATCTCATCTGTGTGTTTTCCAGGAGTGTTTCTTGCAGCAGCAGCTCAAGCAACGTCCCTGAGCTGGCTCAGATTTCCCAGCTTCCTCTGAATAGGAAAGGGAAGGGGGGGAAAATCAATATCCCAGAAAGCAGAAACGTCACAGTTGGTGCTGACCTTGGGTGGGCTGGGGGTCAGCTCTGAAATCACTTCCCAACAGGCTCTACATGGACACTGAAATCCCACTGGAGCCCCAGGACAGAGGCTCCAGGAGCCAGAGGAGTCCCTGCTCAGGTTCCCTCCACCCTTGGCACCAAATCCCACCCGGGCCCTTTGCCAGTGCAGGGGGAAGGGGCTGGATGTGGCCACAGCCTTGGGGTGGGAGCCAGGGGGGGAGCAGCCCCGGGGGCTCCTGCTTGTGCCATCCCCCCCGTGGGGCTGGCACAGGGTCCCCATGGGCACAGGGCCCAGATCTGGGGGCTCCTGGCACAGGGCTGTTTGATGCCAGCCTTCCCACCCTGTCTGTGCCTGCTCCAGCACCACAGCCCTGGGCTGGGGGGTGCCAGGAACGAGGAGGATGATCCTGCTCCCTCATGAACAGACTAAACCAGCAATTTAGGTTGGACCCTCCCAGGGGGCTCCAGCACATCCACCACATGGGGCTGGAGTGTGTGTGACATTTCCAACCTAGAGATAGGGAAGGTGACAGCCTGTGGGGCAAACGAGTCCCTCTCTGCTCTGCTGTGACAGCCCAGCCCGGCGGGTGGGACCAGAGGGGCTGTCACCTCCAAAGCAGCAGCAGGGGGAGGCCCTGGGCAGCACAGTGTCCCAGTCACAGTCACAGCAGCACAGTGTCCCAGCAGCAGCTCTGGCAGCAGTGTGGGCAGAGGCTGTGGTGGCAGCCAACAAGGTCTCAGAGCACATCAGTGTACCCAGCACCTCTGCTGACCACATCCAGACCAACAACCCTCCCATCAGCCCGTGTGGGCAGCCAGGGCAGCCAAGAAAAATGTTCTGGGAACCTGGGGGACCCAGTCTCTCCCTCACCCCTGCCAGGGCAAAAG